GCAGGTAATAGAGGATGTAAGGGATGTTCGAGACATGGCTTGATTAGATGGCAGGTGGGGTCACAAGCGTGTTAGAGCCTCAGCCTATCGATCGATATTTGTCTATATGTATAGAGGCTGTGTATTGCATTAGGTAAATGCGTAAATGCACCTCGTTACACGTTCAAGCTTCGCTTGAAACCTTCACAAGACACTAAGGAGAGACTCGAAAATTGAAGAGGAATTGGTTTCGAGCAATTTCTTTAGATGCAAACAAAATTGCAATTTTTTCAAATATAGAAAAAAAAGTTGTGTTGTTAGGTTCCTCGCATTAAAAGGAATTATCTCGAAATCACGTTACGTTTGTATTACGAGAAAAAAACGAAAGTAAATTGAATTATTGTCCATGAAAAGATAACGACAATTATCGCCACACATATATAGCAGTGTGATTTTGAGGTTGTTCGCATTTTATTTGCGTCACAGAGAGACACGCCAGAATGTCGACTCTACATTGCAACAACAATCTCGTTGTAACGAGAGCGTATAATGACGGCATCAGATATTAATTTCTCGTCTCGGATAATGAGATATCATGATAACAAAAGCTTGCTCATGACGTAGCAAAACGGCTCGATAAGTTTACAGTGATAGTAAAAACATCAAAAGAAATGACGTAAGACAAATTGATTATAACGAGAAGACGAACACGTTACAAGATCCGAGGACCAATAAAAATGACTCTCCAGTAAAAACGCGATTTCTCAATTAAATATAATGTTACGTAATTCCTAGAGATACGATAGAAGAAAAAAAATACAAGTACAAAAAACGACACCATTAGCTTTTGTAATCAGAGCCACAGCGATTAAATAAAAACGCGTGTACATTTATTGTCTTTGTTAAGTTCATGATAAAGTACAGATCATCTTTTATGCATTGGACTATATCTCTTGTATATGTATATTTTTTTACTTTGCAGAATAATTAAAAGAATACAGAGAAAGACAAGAAAATTTTATTTTTTTAAGAAAGAAATAAAAGACAAAAGTTCATGTATGTAAGTAAAAAAGTACATAGATGTGTGTAAAATATATTATAGAAAAATAATCTTCGTTAAATTTTTAATTTAACTATATATTATTGTATAAAAATTAATACTAAATTACTCATTACTAATAACTAAATTACACAAGTGTTTAAATAAAATTAATTAATAGTACAAAGAATTTTCTAGTGAGAAAACAACACTGAGAAAATTTTCTCTTCAATTATTCGAACTTCTCCAATCTGCCGCTTACAGCATATTTTTTTCTCTATGCAATCATTTACGTTTTTTCTCCCCAGAGAGTACAAAAATAGGCCCGAGGGACGTCCAATTCCGCTTATGATCAATAAAACGGTTGAAAGCGGTCGTTCACGTGTCGGACAATGTGGCCGGTTGCTACCTAAAACATCAGTGAGACGTTTAGGGCTGCACCCACAGTCAGGCATTTTCGATTTTCCAGTTTGGCCAGTTCTACTTTAACAATCCTTCAGCAAATTACAAGCACTACTACAAAAGCCCGTTTTACACAAACATTTTTCACGTGCCGGAAAACAAAAAGTTTCAAAACGAAAACTTTTCTTCATTTTTATACAGATACCGTTATAACATCCGTCTTTTTCTCTCCGTTACAACATCATCTTTTTTCCTTGTGGTGCCGTCTACGTTTGTCGGTATAGCTCGATGAATAATTATCGGAAAAGCCTCATTCCCGTATCAGGAGAGACGCGTATATTTTCTGTACTTGGTAAGGCGTCGAGAAATTCTCATTCCCGGCGAAAAGCGGAGCTTCGATCCTGAGCCCTCATGACGAGATATCGATCGGTTGCGTGGCATCCTCACGGCAGATTTTTCGCGGAGTCGGCCTCGTTAAAAGGCTTTTTAGTTAAGTGGAAGCGACTGCGACGAGGGAACGAGGACGACTAAGCGGAGTATTCCATGGCCAGTTTACCAGGGTGGAAAAACGTGAGAGCCTATAGTGTCCTGTGGGGGAAAGCATACGACTGTAACAACGATCGTAATAATGATGACATAACATGTGATGATCTTGGGAACACAAGGCTGAAAACGTAATTAAAATGACGTTAGATTCTTAAAACCAATGTGGAAATCGATACAAATAAGCTTAACTTTCCCGATATCAACATTAAAATTTAATAAAGTAATGCGGATATGTGTATTCATGAACAGATGTATACAATTGTACTTTCTTGGATCTCTTAATCTATTAATCGAAATAATCATCTTTTTTTAGTACGGTTTTTAATCTGTGTAATGAATCACCTCAAAGAAAAAAATATGATAAAAAATGTAATGAAGAAAATTTATTACATTAGGCAATTTTCATTATAGAAGAATTAGCTCTCTGAATTAGCATACTGACAATGAGCCGCACCTAATTAATTTTTTCGATGATAGAACGGGCAAAAATGTGCTATTTTTAGAAATGCGAATTTGATACGTATGCTATTTTTATGTACATCGATCTTGACTGACAAGCAGAAATTTTCAGGGAAAACTCATATGGGTTAGCCCGACGTACAATCCTCTCAAGCGTTAAATACGAAAGTTAAAGGGATCGGAGAGCTCTCGGCTTTAGGACAACGCAACAGATCGGAGATCACCCTGTGCGATAAGGCCCCGTTTACGAGACTTGTCTATGTGTAGTATGACTTTGTACTGTCGTGTAACGTCGCTGGTAACATCATTGCTGACAAGAGCTGTTTCCCTTAACAGGCGTACAAGGTTGTATACCTGCTGTAATTGCATTAGATTTTAATTAACTAATGTAACCTCACATAAGTAACACACCGTTAAATTCGCATACCATATTATTGACCGTAATCATACTATTTTACTATAATAATTACCCGATAATAATAGCATTAGACACGAGGGAATAATTACTGACCGAGTTCGAAAATTGAAATATTTTATTCCAGACAACACACTACGTGTTGATTTCTAACTGGAACAGTATATAGTAATTAATTAATACATCATCGATTAATCTAAGTTTAAACGACTTAATTAGATTATTAAATTGCATTTTGTATAGCAAAAGCATTGTTATCAAAAATAATTAAAATTGCAAAATAACTGCAATTTCATTAAAATTCTATAAAAAAAGAGAGAACTTTTTGTTTCGAGTATTAAATGAGTACGTTTTACATCTGTTGAGTGTTATAGTGTCATAGATAAATAATGAAATAAGGCAACACGAATCACGCAATGTTTAATTAAACAATGCTTCAAATTACCCTAAAGCTAAATGAGAAATTCATTGTGTACTGTTATATAAATAAAATTTTGATGCGCACCGCAGTAACAATACGAAAGGTATAATAATAAAAGTAGAGTGTATAATATATTATAAAGTATAATGCGCATTGCAGCAACGCATAAAGTGTATGATATAATAAAATACGTTATGCTATAAAGTAGCAAAAAGAGAAAATCAAGCAAAGAGAGAAAAGAGAAAAAAACCAGCTGGAAAAGAAGTTAAAATTAGGTCAAATATAAAGAACTAAGTATTAATGGTCGAGGAGGACAAAAAATTCAATCTGGCTGCTTCTGTACGCTCTCGAGATCGTCGTCGCTTTCCTCAAAATCGAGAAAATTATTCTAACTATGAGAGAGTTGAAAGAGTTGGGACAAGTTGCTTGCTCATGTCATTTCACAGGGGGGGGGGGGGTTGTAAGGGGCGCCCGCGCTACCATAGCTCGGTCAGCCACTCGACCGAGCCGACAGAAACGACGCGGCGCGGCGTGGCGCGGCGCGGCGCGGCGGTTCGGTCGATAGGTCACGGTACGAAGGTGAAGTGTGTGCAAACATAATTTTGGTAGTGCTTCGAAGAGAAAGCTTTCATATCGGGCAAAAGCGTAAAAGCGAACATCTCGTCCGCAGGATTGGCTGGCTCGCGTGTCGCGTCATGTCGCGTCACAATCGATAATTGATTAAATCTTACGAACGTCAAATATTCGCTTGCCTTCCGTTATACCATTGACGGAAAGAAGCTTCTCACTTTTATCCGCGAAGTACCTATACTTTCGCGTGGCCGTAAAGTGCGAGTGAAAAGTTCAAGACATACGACAGGATAGGATGTTTGCCTTGGCGTGAGATATTCGGCCGGGATAAAATATTTTTCCTGTCGAAAGATTAATGGTTTGCTAACTTCCGCGTTAATGCTTCTCTTTGTCTTACAATCCAGTTGGATTGCTGATAAATTGAATACTCTCGAATAAATAATAAGTTCTTATCTCGTGTTTGTATCTAGAAAATTTATTTGTAGAACTGTAATGGCGATAAAAATTCTTAAGAGTTGATATTATATGGTATATAGTATCTCTCTAATATAGATATCTAATATGAATAGTAAAAACAATAATTTTAAGCCTCCAAAAAAGCTGTCATCTAATTAGCCATTAATATCCGACTTAAGGACAAGTTTATAATAATTTTACATACACAGTGGATATTGTTGGCTTATAATATTTTTTCATAACAAAATTGTTATCGTGATGTAATTACAAATTTTTATCGCTACCGTTCCTGATATAAATTATTACTATGTTCATATTAAAAAGTTGCTTAATTTGCTAACAACCTCTCCTAAAACTCCTGTATAATTTTATATGTATATAACCACGTAAAAGTATTTCCATATTTAATTCTCTGATAAAAATGTCTTTATAAAATAGGCATTTTAAGCCTATTTTTGATTTTATGAAAACGTTAATAGTGTACCTTGTAATTAATCGAGAATTTTGTTTTATTTTCGTCAACGACAATTTTATGAAAACTAGTTGAGCGTTCTCACCGTGTGCAACACATGTGTGTACTTTCTCACCACGCACGAATATTTCGCGAATGCTGCGTTAAATAAATAAAAAAAAAAAGAAAAAAGTTTGTTCGACAACGACAGAAAAGTCGATGAAACTTTTCGCCAGCGTGGTAATAAAACTTTCCCACTCACCCTTGAGTTCCATGTCCGTGACCTGGTTCGCCTTGTAAGTGGCCGTCTCCCTGCGGTCGCCGACGATGAAGTAAATATTGGTGTACTCCTCGTTGTCGTTACTGCCGGTTCCGTTCCTCGTCTCGTGGTCCATGGCCACGCGGATAGTTTCGGCCTTGAACCGCCTACCGCTCCTCGTCGCTTGGCCTGGTTGATGCAGTTTTCGAGACTACCCGGCCTTGCTATTACACGGGGCTGTCGAGACACAAAGGTGAGAGACTTAGGCACAAAACCGTCATCATTCTCAATAACAACATACTTCTGTCGAGTTTCACAATGTAACGCTCGCTAGGCACGAAGAAGAAGCAATATTACTTTGCGCACCAGTATTCTCGCACTCGTGATTATATGTTTCGTTACTTTCCCCTTATTACGTAAAAATCGAAAAAATAAATGGATCAATAAGATATATGCCATGTCAATAATATCTCAAGATTGCTCGAATTAAAGTTTGATATATAATCAATGTGATGTTTCATCATACACGAGATATAGCCTCTGTATGCCAAATAAAATAAAAAAAATGATGACTTATCCAAGGATAATTTTGTTCTCACAAAGATATATAACGTACATCTCTTCTAACCATTTAACGTATCAAAATATTAGAAATATAATATTTCTCAAACTATTATAGAAATAATTTAACTTTTAAAATATATGTGACACACATTTTCAATCATGAAAAGTCTCAATTTAAGAAATGTCAAACTGGAAAAAATTTTAGAACCGAGTAATTTTGCGTAGTATATAGATTGTCAATTAATTAATTAATCCTTTTAAGGAAATACTTCTATTAAAAACAAAACATAGTGTTTAAATCACAAAAAGGTAATTAAATATCAAATCAAAATTTTCCCAATTAATATAAGAAAGAAAAAAAGACAAGTATAAAGACGCATGTAAGATCAACAATACTCAATCAAAATTTTCAAGCTGTCTCACCTTTGGTCGGGTGTGGAGGGGTAGCAACACCTTCGGCGAGCTCATCGTCGCATCGCCGGCCCGGCGGCGGCAACGACCGAGCCACCCCCGATTATCGCACCTATCGAGCTCGTGTCTGCTGTTACATGCGACACCTGCCGCTTGCTTCGGGATTGGACGTACCGGAAACTCGTCAACAACGACGACCGACGATGGGGTGCAAGCGTGGCCGACCGTTCGTCTACAACCAGCCGGCACCACGTTTCCTCATGGTCCATCCTGTGGCAAAAAAAAAATTGAGTGTATTTGACTGTTCTAATGAAAATATAATCATACATCGTATATAATACTCAATCTTCATTAAATTTATGATTCTTAAAATAGGAATAAAACATTTAATGACCTCGAGGATATCAAATGTAATAAAATGCAATATATAAAAAGCGTTCCGCCATTTCCTCTTCTTTTCATGCTTATATAGTCAATTGGATTTTTAATTACGTTCAATATTAAAACTGTATTAGAATATCTAATGTTTGAAATTAAAAGAAAAAATAAATTTTCATAAATCAAATTTGCATTAGAATTGCACACAGTTTTTTGAATATATCGACAACTTTTAGGAATAAGGACCAGTCGAAATTGCGAAAGTTAAACATGCACATTACACTGAAGAAAACTAAATTTTAATAAATATTCGTTTAAAGAGTTCTAAGTAAATATTTACTAAATATATACTTATTTAGTACAAGAATTATTAATTTAATTTACCTCTATCTTTTTTATTGCGTAAATATTTATTGAATGTCAGTAAACTTTTATTTAGTACTATATAAAAAAAATGTATTAAGATTGAGTAATCTTTTTCAATATACCAAAGTGGAATGAGATGCGCACCTGCGCCTCTCAGGTACGAATTGTGTTTATTACTTTTGACTTGGCGAAGCGAAAGTGTTTTGATTACAGGGTACGATCGCGGACTTTCCCCGACAACAGTACGCAAAGTACGGGTTGCGATGTAACCACTATCGTGCCAGAAATGTACATATTGTTGAATTGAAATGCATTTATCATGAGAATTAGCAGTAAAATTCAACGAGATCTAAAAGCAGCGCGACAATTAAATAACTTACTCTAATTTTTTTGTCTAGTAAAAATAAAAATTAAAAGCGTCAAATTATAATACCGACTACAGTGAATAATTTTTAGTTATATTACATTTTTCACTTGCTGAGATTCGTATTCTCTCCTGCGAAGAAAAATTCGAGAAAATCAGGAAACAGAATTGACTCTTCTGGTTCAGAGAGATACTTTTTCTTTGTTGGGAGATCTTCCGAAAATACATTTCTATTTAAGATTGAAGGAAGCATTTTTATGACTTTGTAATAATGAGAGTGAAAATATCATAAAATATGTAAGATTTTTTTTGATACAAGAGATATTTCGGGAACGAATGATTCATTGGAATATCGCGAAAACGGGAGAACTTTCGATTGAGGAAAAGATCCCCATCCCTTCGACCGTCTCTATCTTCTCGCCGTGCCTGCCACGCCCAGGTAAAACTCGTGGGCGTGAGAAATTTACGATTTCTTTGCCCAAGGTCGCCGGTGGAAATTAGAAGCCACGATATAGCTGGTGCCACCCTCGACACTTACCACCTTAAACTACGTCAGGCGTCGCTTCGCAAGAGAAGACGTACGAGCGGTGCCATAAATTTATGATGACATTTTCGTAAATTTGCCCTGAGCATCAGTCTTATCACGACGTTATTGCTACAAGATATTAAAATTTACATTGATATCATCAGAAGCAAATATCGATTTTTCCATTAAGTATACGGACCGGAAGATTTGAATCAAAAATTCCAAGCGTGTGATTCTTCTTAATAATCTTAAATTAACATTTTTCTTACAAAAATGTAAAAATCGGTGTAATGCGATTATTTAAAAAAAGATCTTTCGCATTCGCTTTCACAAAATTTTTTTTTCTTTCGTTTTCGCATTCGCTTTCGCTATAATCACTTTCGTTACATCCCTAGTATATATATGATACATTTAATATTTTAAAGATTACAACTTCAGACTGATAACAAAATTGCAATTGCAAAATAAATCGAAATTTATTTCATCTTACAAAGATAAAAGTATGAGAAGTAGTTTTTAAAGAAAATAATTAATCTTTATGCCCCAAGAAGCATATATTAATGTTTAACGGCGAATTATTGGTTAAGTTTGCAACCTTCTTTCACACCCTCTAGGGTATGTACAAGGTAAAAAGGCGTGGGATGCACGAAAGGGAGTAATCATTCCTCAGCAAAGTGGCTAACTATGACGCAATATCCGCGTGACTTTAGACTCCAGCTTTCAGCAAATTTCTACTCTCTGAGACGAGCCGAGTCAGCGGAGAAGATCATGGCGTCTAATTGGATCAGTATCGAGTACTTTTTCCCTTGAAGAGAGCGCAAAAAAAACAGGCTAATAACGATGTTACCAATTTCCGTTTATTATTCATCGCGATAATAATTTGCGACATAATAACATATTGTTTATTAGGACGTTAAAATTTCTATTATTTAATTAATACGAATATAATAAATAAACACACAGAGGAAAATATAATAATAAAACTATTAAAGTTATGACATACAAAAAAGTACTTAAATAATAAAACGTAAGCAAATCAACACTTTGGATTTGCTACTTATTGTCTTACGATCTCCACTGTAATTGACTTATTCGCTTATTACCTAGTTATTACGTTTCTACTTATAGTTTTCCGTGTGTCATAGCTTTTAACTACATAAGGATTAATAGGATAAAGATGCAAAAAAATAATTACATGAGAAGTATAATGAGCTCTTTCACAGCATTCTATAAATAGACAAAATGATACGTATTCTTTACCAGAATCATATTCTAACATAATACGGTCAGTTTTACCGAACTTTCGGTTTCCTTATTCCTTGTTACCATTATGCTGCGGTGTTTGATACAATAAACATCGTCTGTCAATTCTGTGCAAATTTGCTCCATTCGATTTTAAGATATTTCTCTTGTTTCAACAAGGTATTTATTTTAATTATTACACATAGCAACGAACTTGTTTTTCACTTCATTGCTTTTTTTATTTATAATACGACAATTTTTTTAGATAATATTGATTATTGTAACACCGTTTTTTATCACAACAATGACTAACTAAAAAATTTTAAATAATGGACAAACACAATTTTTGTCCGACGACTTCGACGAATGACTACAATTTTTTCGTATCCGGATCATATCGCATAATTTTTAAGAATTTTTTATTGTAATAATTTCGTTAAGATTTGAAAATTTTTGTTAACATTGAAAATGATCCGATCGGCGTCGAAACGTTTGTTTTACTTATGTTTGATTATTTATCTTTAATTTAATATATTGTCTTTGTTTCTTTGAAGTGTATTGTTTTTATTTTGGCTCGTTGCCCGTTACACTAATTTAATTTTTATATATTATTGTCGAGCCTTTTCTCAATATTATTAATTCTTTCACAAATATATATATATATTTTAGTTTGCGTGCTTTTCTTGGATGATAACTGACAATGCGTGATCTTTTATGTATCATATGGATTTTTATGTTTTTACCGACCTATCAATGAATATATATTATATTTATATACGTATATTTACGATCCTATCAATTTGTACATATACATAAATATTTAATCAATCTATCATATATAGAATATTTTTCATAGTTTAATAGTGCACATACTGGAAGGGAGCCAAATATAAAAACTACTTCTTTATATTAAGATTAAAATACGGCGAGTGTAACTGTACAAATAAACACTTCGGTTCGTATCTCAATTTCTATCGTACGATAGATAGCTTTCTTTATACGGCAATCTTTTACAGCCGGTTGAAACCAGCTCGAATAAAAGCTCGACGACGCGACGGCGACGTTCGTAACGTATCAAAGCTGAATAAAATCTGTCCAGAGTGGGATCTGTCCTGACGCCGGCGGCCGTCATGACGATAATTGGATTGCACTAGTCAGTTTCATACATGATAACACTGGAAGACGCGCGGGGAACATAATCGAATGAAATGCACCGGATATGCATTGACGGCGAGGTCGAGGACGTCGAGGTCGAGAAGGGAAAACGTCGTGGACGTAGAAAAAT